CCCGACGACCGCGCGCGCTTCCGCGCCCACGGCCGCCGCTTCGGCGCCGCCGCCGCCGCCGCCGCCGCCGCCAGCGCCGCGGCGGGCGGCGCGTCACCGTCGTCGTCGCGCGGGGCCGAGGAGGCGCGCGGATGCTGCTGTTTGCGCTGGCGCTGGCGCCACTGGTTAAGCGCCTTGTCGTCTTCCTCCTCCTCCCGCTGCAACTCAGCTTCCATGGCTGCTTCCCTGGCCGAATCCTTGCCCCGCCCGGCAGGGGCCGAAACCTGCGCCCGCGCCGGCGGCGACGACGGCGGCGCAGCCGGCAGCTGCTGCTGCTCCTGCTGCCGCCGCTGCGCTTCCCGGGGGACCTCCGGCGCGGCGGGCAGCGGCTGCCGCGGCAGCGGCGACGGCCCCGGCTCGCGCCGCTGTTGCAGGGCGGCGAGCGCGGCGGCGACGCTGCCGGCGGCCGGGCCCCCGTCCAACCCGGCGGCCGCCTGCGGCCGTCCCCCAAGCTGCCCCTCCAGCAGAACCGCAATCTGAGGAAACGACGCCACCAACTGCTTGGCCACAGCGTCGATGACCGACGCCGTCCCGCCCTGCCCTGCGCCGGCTGCCGCCGCGGCCGCTGCCGCGGCCTGCTGCTGCCGCAGCCGCTCCTCCTCCTGCCGCCGCCGCTGCTGCTCGCGGTGCTGCTCGGCCTGCAGCTGCAGCAGCAGCAGCTGCTCCTGCAGCTCCCGCTGCAGCGCCCCGACGGGCAGGCGGCCCTGGGCTGCTGCCTGGTCGTACGCGCCCGCGAGGCGCAGCAGCTGCTCTTCCAGCAGCGCGGCGCCCGAGGCGGCCGCGCGCCCGCCGCTCGCGGCGTCGCCGCCGCCGCTCCGCCGCGGGTCGGGGCCCGCCGCGCCATTGATGGGCGCGCGCATGGGGGGTCCGCTAGAGGGCCGCTCCGGGATCGGGTTCTGCGCGGCGCTCACCGCAAGCTGCCAGTCGCCTGCGATGCCGCCCTGGCTGCTGCCCACAGCGGAACCCTGCCGAGCGAGCGGGCGTGCCTCGGCAGCCGGCACGCTCGCATGGGCGTTTGCATGCGTGGGTGCGGCCTGCCGGGCGGGGCCGCTTGTGCCAAGGAGCACCTCACTGAGGAGCGCAAGCGTCTCGAGGCCGGCCAAATCATCCATTACTGCGCGGCGCCGACAACCGCCAACTGGGCCGCGGTGCGCCCTGCGGCCGCAAGCGCGCGAGGCAGTGGTTTGCAGCTTTGGTCCCCCTGCCTGGACGGCCTGGGAGACGCTTTTGGTGCGTTGCTGAAGCCGCTGGTTTTTCTCCAGGGGTTGCTCATACTGTGAGCGGCCTTGGGAGTTCATGCTGCGAGTCCCACCACACTCGCGCTTGGCCCAGGAACTCGCTGTGCCCCACAAAGCTATAAAATTCCCAGATGCATGCGAGACCCACCTTTGGCCCCTTTATGAGTGGGTGGCGCTCCTCAATCGATGCGCCATTGCCCGCCGCTGTTCGCGAAATACCGCGTCTCGTCACGCTGCTTATTCAGATTCATTCTTTTTGCTGGACGCGCAGTGCAGAGCAGCTCCCGCGGACAAAGCATGGAGATGTTCTGAGCGTTGTGGGTATGAGTGAAAGTGGTCTGTTATGAGGTCAAACATCAAGATGAGAGTCAAAGTTTCTATCGAGGGCGTCGAGCAGTGCCGTAGAGGCCTAGATCACGGCTTTTTTTGCCACAGCGCGCCACGAATCCCCGTGCACTTGTGCTTCCGAAATTTTTCAGCTCACACGCGGTGGCCGCTCACAGGGAGAGCCGCTGCGATGCCCGCGACAGCGACATACGGGGTCGCGGACGCCGTGCCGAGAGGGAGTGTGAAGAGTTATCATGCATCTGTCGTGTCAGGGAACCACACAATGGACGTGTGCCATAACATACGCAACCCAAATGTGAAATTTTGCCATGATTTCAAACACTTTTTGTCGATGAGCATTGCAGATAATGCGGTGTGGCACGGCACAGCAGGGGAGGGCGAGACGCATGCATTGAATCGCAGTCCATCAGCAAGGCCAGGGCGACAGCGCCGCCCCACACCCTCAGCGCGGCAGATAGCCAATGCAGTTGTGCAGCACAGGCTGCACTAGCCGGCGTCCACCCGCGCAGAAACCGCGCGCGCCTCTCTTCGTCGACATGAAGCCAAGACAATGGCTTGCATCGCATGCTTGGTTCACCAGATGGCCTGCGTTTGCCTATATCTGTCATGTGCACGAGGGGGTTTGGTGCTGTCAATAAGCCGAGACACAAACAATAAGCACCTGTGGCAGCAGCAAGTCCGTGCAAGCAGTGGGCCCACGCTTTCTGGGCGGTGGGGCTCACAGTCGCACTGTGGCAGATCCTACCTTGCACGCCGCAAATGCAGCAGTCTGCGTGTGCAGTGCACATGCAACGGAAAAAAACTTGAGTTGCAGTCCAGCTGGGGGCGTCGGGGCCCTGAGAACTTCCACCAGATGAACGCATTCGCCGGTCATCCCGGTGAGCTGAAAATCAAGCACATGCGCGGCAACGGACTGTGCCGCCACAGCAGCTCCTGCACATATGTGCTTGTTACTTATGCTGCCTTCCTTTTTATGCTGCCGTGCTACGCAGAAGCCAACAGCGGCGTGTTTGAAACCCCTGTCGGCCCATGGTCATACGGAGTGTGAGGGATGACGGTGGGTCGCCCGACTGCGACAAGGAGGGTGACGCCCGTGAATGGTGGGTCGGGACGAAGGCAGGATGGACTTGAGCGACTGTTTTCCCGCTGCTTTCAATATGGGTTTGGAAGCATGACGAGTACCAGTTGGGCCCGTGAGCAGTGACTGCTGCAGCCCACACCAGATGTGCAAACCAGGGCCGTCGAGTTGGCTGGGGCTCAGTGACCCTATCACGCCCCCTGAAATAAGCTCATTACCATGACATTGCCATGGGATATCTTGATTTTTCAAATGCCGTTCATACACCTGGCGCGTAATTTCAGATCATGTCGTGTCAAGCTCAAACGCATACGCGTAACCTGGACGATATGTTTAAGTTTCAAAGGCGATGATGATACACGTTATTACTGCAATCAATTGTATGCTACAACGCAGCGCTGTCAAACTCTGTGGCAATTCTGCAGCACTAGAACCCCCCACTTCCACACGGCAGCGCATTACCAGGCAGCGCATCCGGCGCAGCGCGAGCTGGCATGCTGCCAACGGCCACCACACGGCAATCAGGGCACATGGCGCGGCCATACATGCGCCATGCCGAGCCGATTGCGTGGGCGGCAGGCTCGGCGCGGGTTGGGTCGGTTCGCAGGCCCAAGCATGGATCAGGCGAGCGTTTGCCCCGCGCGTCATGCGCGCGTCATGCGCGGGGGTGCTGCCCTGGGGGCTCTCAAGTAGCAGGAGACCTTATCAGCGCAGCAGGACGGGCTGTCCTGTCCACGCGCCAAGTCTGGTGCCACGTCCTTGCGACTCACCCGAACCAACACTGCGCCTCGCCCGCACGCGCCCCCTCCAGCCGCCCCCACCCGGGCCCAGGCGCGCGACGCCCCCGCCGCGGGCCCGCCGCCCGCCGCCGGCGCCCCCGGCGCGCCGCCGGGGCGCTGCCCCGTGCTGGCAGCTCTGCCCCCGCCGCCGACGGCCGCCGTGCCCTGGTACCGCCGCCTCATGCAGTTCAGGGACCCCCTCAACTTCCAAGCCACCCTGCTGTCATCCGCCGACGTGGTGACGACGCCGGCGCAGATCGGGTTCCCGGAGATGGTCGTCCCGGGCACGGCGGAATTCGCAAAGGCGGTGCTGGCCAGGGAGGGAGATCTTACAGAGGTGGCGCCCTTTTTGGTGCTGGGAGATCTCGTGGGAGAGGGCACCATGGGTGAGCAGGGCGGGGGCGCCCCAAAAACGGCGGGCGCGGGGCGGACGGCGGACCCGAGGCCTGGCCGCGGCGCGCGCAGCTCTGCGGCGGCGCGGGCGCCGGCGCGGCGCGCGTTGGGTCTATGATGGGCCGCGCTGCGCGACAGGAGGAGGGGCGGCGCTCCGTCCTGCGGCGGCGGGCGGCGGGGCGGGCCCGCGTGCCCATGCAAACGCGAGGGCCCCGACATGGACGCTCGACCCACACCGCATCCGCCGGCGCGGCCGCGGCGCGCTCGCCTTGGCGTCCTGGCAGGCCTGATGCAGGAGCCTGGTCACCGCGAGTTTCGCAACCTGCTGGCGCCCGCGTTCACGTACGAGGCCATCAACGGGCGCTTCCTGCCAGAGATCGCCGCCATCGTGGGGCGCACCCTGGAGCGCTGGGAGGGCGCGGGGGCGCCGGTCAAGGCGTACGATGCGTTCAAGCGGATGACGTTCGAGATCATTATGAACGTGGGTGCAGCTGTCCGTTGCACCCACTTGAGCACGGTCGCGCGTGGACCCAGGGGCGAGGCTGGCAGGGGGTGGGTGGGCGTGCTTGCGTTGCCTTGCGCGCGGCACCGGGCCTGTTATTCCTGCCCGCCTGCCAAATCCCCTGCAAATGCCTAGCAAGCGCCGACAAACACGACTCGACCGCCCATCGCCCCGCCCCCGCAGGTCATGATGGGCAAAGAGTGAGCCGCCCTGGAACGCCCATCGCCGCACGCCGCGGCGCTCGACGGCGCCCCTCTGACCGCCCCGCCCCCCCTGCGGCGCCGAGCTCGTGCCGAACCGCCGCATGCGAGCGCCTGACGCCTGGTTGCCCGTGACCGCCTTTCAAGATGCCCAGCTTCCCGTTCAATCTCTACATTTTCGAAACCCTGACCCCTTTTTCAGGTATGCGGCCGCGGAGATCGACCGGCTGCATGAGATGTTCACCACTTACACCGGCGGCATGGCGCAGTTCCCCCAGTGGGACGTGCCTTTTTTGAAGTACGGCAAGGCGATGCAGGTGGGGGGCAGCTTCCCATGGGGCAGTAGCCCGTGGGGCGACCTGGACGACGTCGCGCCTGCGCCCGGCACGTTTTGAGCATGTGCGTGTTCATATGTGCTGGCCACAGACCGCTGGGCTCGATGGCGCACGTGCATGCGCGGTTCGCGCACGCACACACGCTCACATGCACGCACACACACGCACGCACACACTCACATGCGCGTGCGCACACACACAAACCCTCTCTCTCCCCCCTTTCTCCCATGCACATCCAGGCCCGCCGCGAGCTGCTGGCCATCTTCCTCGCCGACACGACGGC